CTCAGAAAAACAGCATCTTATTTTTGTTGCAATTATTTCCAGCATGCAGCAGTATCCCATGAAGAATGACCCTGCTAGGTGTGGTGGCACACCTATAATTCTATCTCTTGGTTGACTGAGGCAGGAGAATTGCAAGTTCAACACCAGCCTGGGATGCATAATGAGACCCTATCTCAAAGTGGGGTGGAGGGGGTGCATAGTGAGGCCGTATCTCAAAGCGGGAAGGGGGGCAGGCAGAAATATTTTAAAATAAAGGAGATGTTAAGAGAACTGTCAACTCACTTCCTGATGCTTCTGGTCAAAGCCTTTGAGAGACACAAGACAGTACCAGATTAAAAGGGGGAAACACTTTGGTCAGAATTCACAAGCCGTTTATAGTCGAATTTACATATCTGTGGATTCTACAGTCTTGCATTCAATCAATAGATCAAAAATATCTGAAAAAAAATACTTATACTGAAAATGTACAAGCTTCTCTTTCTTGTTATTTCTAAAACAATAGAGGGTAACAACTATTTACCCAGCATTTATACTGTACTGGCTGTTATAAATAATCTAGAGAGGATTTAAAAATTATGAGAGAACAGGCCTGGGTTCTAGGCATGCACTCTGGGGCATCTGTGGACTTTGGCGTTCCCCCTACTCCCTGGTGATATCCCAGGACAATTGCAGATCCGGTTATCAAGGCCATTGGTGGAATAAGCTATGCTCAGCAGCTTTTCCTCATTTATTCAGTTTGCTTATTAAGGTCCCAGATACAAAGCCCAACTCTGGACAGGGAGGTGAACTGTAACATTTGTCTTTGGTCGACTAGGCAAAGAAAGAAGACAGTAATGAGGCTGTAGCTTGGTGACAGAGCTCCTGGTGATCGAGCTCCTGGCTAGCATGTGGGAAGGCCCTGGGTTCAGTTCTCCAGCATAACAAAGGAAAGTAGAGGGAAGGAAGGAAGGAGGAAAAAGGAAGGCTGGCAAGAAAGAAGGAAGGAAGGAAGGAAGGAAGGAAGGAAGGAAGGAAGGAAGGAAGGAAGGAAGGAAGGAGGAAAAAGAAAGGCTGGCAAGAAAGCAGGAAGGAAGTTGTCTTAGTTACTGTCATGACACTGTGATAAAATACTCTGAGAAAATCAACTTAAGAGAAAAAGGATTCGTGTGCGCTTACAATTCAAGGTATAGCCCATCATGGCAGGGAACCCAAGGCAGGAAGAGCTTCAGCGGCTGGCCACATTACAACTGTGGTCAGAAAAAGAGAACACTGAGTGGATGCATGCCGCTCCTGTGCCTTTCTTCACTTGTACAGTCCAGGATCCCGGCAAATGGTGCCATCTACAGCAAATGGGTCTTCCTACCTCAATTGATGTAATCAAAGTATTCCTCATGGGCATGCCCATCTCCAGGTGATTCTAAACTCTGTCAAGTTGACAGTTAACACTAATCATAGGGGTGGGAAGGGGACAGACACGACACTTAATTCCTGAAATTTAATACAACCCCGAGTCTTGAACTCACACTTCAATGACCAAAAATGAGTGTAGCAGAACTCATTCTAATAGATACTAATTTGTATGAGAATTCCAAACTGGACACTAAAAATATGCTGAAAAAACTGTAGTCTCCCTCCTTGAGCTAATGTGCAGACTGATGACAAAATCAATTACGTCGTAGTGGCAAGTCCAGAGTGCGACAGGAAGGTGAAGAAGATGGTACAGAAGGCTTCATCAGGGAGGGATGGGACTGGATAGGGAGAAGCAGGGAGTGATGGAGTAGCATGGGTGAGTATCTGGAATAATTTCCATGCTTATATAACAACAGCATGGAATTATTATTAGCATATGAGCTCCTAAGAGGTTTTATCTGTTTTGTTCACAACGCCCTAGCTCACTGTAGGTACTCATTAAGTGCAGGTTCTAAAAGAAAACCATGTGACCATAACCAAAACATCCAAAGTCAGAAATGTTCCAAAATCTGATACTTCATACCAGCATGATGCTGAAAGACTGATGTTTCAAAGTTCACAATAAGACTTGGTTTTGTGAATAAAAATTAGAAAAAGCATTGTACAAGCTTACTGCCTTGGTAAGCCTTCATTGTCAACTTGACACAGGCTGGTGTCATCTTAGAAAAGCAGCAGCAACTGAGGAACTGCCCAAGTCAGGTTGGCCTGTGAGCATGCCTGTGAGGGACTCTCTTGATTATTGGCTGATGTAGGAGTACCCAGCCCACCATGGGTGGCACCATTCCTCAGTCAGTGGTCCTGGGCTGGTTAAAGGTAGCTAATCATGAACCAGGAAGTGATTGAGCCGACAAGCATCATTCCTCCATGGTTTCTCATTCCAGGTTCCTGCCTGACTCCTCAGTGACAGATTGTGACCTGGGAGTTGTGAGATAAAATAAACACTACCATCTTCCAAGTTGCTTTTGAAAAGAGTGTTTTACCATAGCAACATAAAGGAAACTAGAGCAGACTTCAGGTTGTGAGACATGTGAAACATAAGCAAATTTCAAGTTAGATTTGAGTCTCGTTCCCAAGATACCTCATTATTTATTTTCAAATATTCCAAGATCTGAAATGCTTGCAGCCAAGCACATTAGCTGAGTGGTCCTCAATCCGTGTTTTATAAGTAAGTCAGCAAATCCTCTGTGAAGTGTTGCTAGAGTTCAGGGTTCATGTGAGGAATGGTGTTGAGGTGGAAAAGACAAACTTCAGACATCATTAGAAGACTGGACTTTATGGAAGAAAACACAGAAAAAGCTTGGATGTCACAAGCACATTTGTGGTTTTGAGATTCATGGGAGGGGGGACATAAAAGGCACAAAACTGAATACAGAGAAAGTTATGTGGTGATTGCTATTTGTCCATCTTAAAGGTGGCTAGTTAGGAATCAAAGGTAATGTCACTTAAAGCCACCAGAATGGCTGACATTACAAAAACTGGTGATTCCAAATGGTGTCAAGGATGTGGAGCAACTAGAACCCTCTTCCTTTGCTGAGACAGTTAGTTCCTGGGACTGCACTTGTAATTCAGTTGGTAGGATGCTTGCCTAGTTAGCCCTGGATTAGTTTCTAGAACAGCATAAACTGAGTGTGGTTGTGCATACAGCAATTCATGGTGATCCTTGGGTATGTTGTATGGTGAAGACCAGTCTGGTTACATGAGATCCTTTCTGAGAGAGGAGGGGTTAGAGGAGAGAGTGAAACAGAGAGATGGAGAGAGAGAGAGAGAGAGGACTTCTATTCAAGTTTAATCCCATAATTCCATTCTTTAGGTATACAGCAGAAATGAATTCTTACATAGACAAGAATGTTCACAAAAGCATTGTTCCCCATAGCCCAAGTGGATAAATTATGTTATACTCATGCAAAGAAATACTGAAACACTTACAGACTGCTGCTGAACAGATAAATACCATGAGCTTGATACTGAGTTAAAAAAAAAGTTGAACATAGAATGCAGTCTGTAGGGCTGGAGAAATGCCTCGGTGGTTAAGAGCACTGGCTGCTCTTCTAGAGGACTCAGGTTCATTTCCCAACACCCACATGGCAGCTCACAACTGCCTGGAACTCCTGTTCCAGGAGATCCAACATCCTCATACAGACATACATGAAGGCAAAACACCAATGCACATAAAATACAAAAAATTAGTTTTCTTAAAAGAATAAAATCTGTAGAATTCTACTTGTAAATTTCAAAAATATGCAAAAAGCAACTCATTGTGAAGTACTCCGAAGTAAGGTTGCTTTTGAGCGTAATGATGTGAGAGGGTGAGCATGGTGTCTGAGTATGGTTATACAATGATTCCCTCACAATAATTCTCTAAGGTTTTACTTAGAAGTTAGGGAATTTTGTGCAATTCTGGCTCATGTAACAGGGTGGGTGACAGTCCCCTGTGGTAGATTCGATGTCTCTCTGGAAAGACATCAGACTCTACAGTAGCCACGGTTCTTATTGCTCCTGGCTGCCCTTGGTGGCTGACGAGTAGGAATCTCATAAGCCCATAATCATGGAGATCACCCTTCTCCAGAGCTGCGAGCCTTTCTTTTGCATTCCATAGCCTGTACCATCCCACTGTGAGACACAGCTTTTTCCAGTTAGAGAATTCTCTCTAGAGGGGCCCCCAACCTCTTTTTTTGTTTGTTTGTTTGTTTTTTGTTTAGTTCACACTGTCCTTTGAAGTAGGAAGTAGGCTGAAATAAAGCAGACAAAATACGATCCACTGAGTGTATCTCTAAAGAGATGAGGGCAATATCTTCTAATGGAGCCTTGGGAGTCCAGAGAGCCATCTAGAATTACACAGTGGTGGTCAAGGGAACAGATCTTTTCTCTGTGGATGCTGTTTCCCTCAGGTGGTCTCACTTGTCCCTCCAATTGCATCGGACTCCCCAGTAGCAGAAGAAAAGACAAAGATTTAGGAGGATCCTTGGACATAAAGTCCAAAAGAAGATTAAGTGGGACCACTATTCTTGCATAGCGATTCCCACCCTTCCAGCTCCCGTGGGAAACACAGAGACTGAAGTGGAATCCCAAACCTCCCACACCCTGCATTCCACTACAGTTCTGGCTTGAGACAAGGGTCAGTCCCTTTAAGACCCGATAGTGAAACTCCCTTCATGCCCCAGAGCTACTCTCTAGTTCCATAATATTAGGAAGAATCACCCCCTCTCCCCTAAAACAAGGTCTAATGTAGCCTAGACTGACCCCAAACTCACTATGAAGCTCCAAATGACCTTGAACTTTGGATTCTCCTGCCTTTACCTCCTGAATGCTGAGGTTACAGGTGTATACCACCACAGTCAGCTTATGAGGTGCTGGGGATCAAAGCGAGGACTTCATGTGTGCTAGGCAAACATTTTGCAGACTGAGCTTCCCCCAACCCTGAAAAGGAGACCCACTGACAAATCCCTTCTGATACCTTCCTCCCCTGGCCAAAAGCCAGGAGAACTATTTATAGGGAGATGACTACAGACAGGCACCTCAGATAAACCATGAAATTCTGCACCCACACATAGGTCACTCTATTCTCAAGACTCAAAAGAACATTGTGCTGTCTCAGAAGTGGAATGGAGGATGGGAAGGTAAGTGAAATGAAGCCGAGATGGAAAGAACCCACACCTGGGGTTGGCACTCAAGGCGTGAATAAAATGGCAGCCCCGGAGAGGATGCTGCTGTGTGGGGGAGCAGAGACGAGAGGTGCGGGGCCAGTTACTTCTCTGCAGCACACTGAGCACAGAGGTTTGTTCTGGAGTTTTCCAGCCCCTACTCCAAAGTCCTCACACATTCCTGGCTTCAAAACCTTCTTATCAGAAGCTCAAGTCTTCACCCAATCCTCATCTCAGTTTACTGACGTTCTTCCCTACATCCAAATAACCAATCCACCTCGTATTGACGGGGCAGTGGGCTTAAAGGGCAGGTTGACATCCTGGTTTCATTGCGTGTAATGTGTTTATTTTGTGTGTTCATGTGAGTGTATGTGAGTGCCTCTGGAAGCCAGAGGACAACCTCAGCATGGTTCCTCAGGAGCCATCCATCTTGGTGGTTTGGGGTCTCTCACGGGAGATCACCAATTATCTAAAACAGCTGACCATCAAAACCCAGGGATCCATCTGTCTCTACCTCCCCAGCTCTGGGGTTATCATCACACACACTCCACCACACCTCACTTTTCAGTTGAGTTCCAGGGAACCAAACTCAATACCTCATGCTTGTGTATCAAGCTCTTCTCCAGCTGAGCTATCTCCCCAAACCAAACGTGAGAGAGCTATTTAAAAGATGTTCTAGCAGGATATATTCGCTGTATGCATGTAATCCTAGTACTTCGTGGGTGGAGGCAGGAGGATTAGGGCTGGACTTCACGGCCAGTCTTGGCTGCCTAAGACCTGTCTCAAAAAGAGAAAGTGAGAGAGTTTATTATTTTATATACTACTAAAAAAATGTTGCAATTCAAATTTACCATCCACTAGAAAGTGCACCCTGAGTTAGGGTCGGGGAACAAGTGCAAAACATGCACTTGTTAAGAGTCAATTGTACAACCGTGAGTTGGGCAGGAGTCACAGAAGGACTTTTAGTTTTGGAAAATTGTGACTCTAAATGAACAAGCCCTTGATGCCAATATATAAAAAGCTCTAATTCCAAGGATTGGGCTTCTTCATCTCCAGCATGGTCATATGTTTTAGGTCACACATTAAGAAGAATTATAGAGGCCTGGAGAAATATTCATATCACCCATTTTGAAAGAGTAGCACATTGTCTATGGCCATACCACCTGAATGCACCCAATCTCGTGACAAATAATAAGAGGTCATGAATTTAATCTATTTAATGTGTATTTGTACTTGAAGTGCCTTAACAATTATGGAAATGAGCAACCACCTTACAGTCAAACACACAACTCCTTGACACGTTGATGGCTTTGCAGCGCTTGAATCAATAAACGTTTTTTGTGCCTTTGTGTATTTGAAACAGATTTTTGAACTTCATGGAGCGGATGTTAAAAAACTGGAAGAGAAGATTCAAGAGCTGATGTGAGCTGCCACCCAAAACCAAATATACCTGGGACATTTCTAAAGTGTCAGCAAGTGTTTGGTGTTCTGATTTCCAGCATGCCCTGTCTCTTACTTTCTCTCCGTCTCTCTCCTGATGTTTTGTGGGAAGAACTTGGCATTACAGTCCTCCCAAGACCTGGATTGAAACCATTGCTGTAGCAGAATTGTGTTACTTCCCGGGGCACGTTCCTTGGGTGATGTTTTTGTGACCTTTGCAGCAGAGCCCATATGAAGCTAAGTAACAGCAGGTCACAAGGATTTCCCAGAGATAGCCAAAGTGCAGTTTTTCCCATGATGAACTTTGCCATTCTTAGGTATGCCATTGTTGGGGTGAGCGGGGTGCTTCGTTTTGTCCTGTTTTGTTTTGTGTGGGGACCAAGAATCAAGCTCAAGGCCTCACACATGCTAAGCAAGGCCTCTTACCGTAGAACTACACCCACAGCCTGGGGGATACTACTTGTCCCAGATTGCTTTCTATTGTGTGATAAAACACCAAGACAACTTTGGAGCACACAGTCCTAAATGGGATGTCCTTATCAAGCCCCTCCCCTCAAGGCTCAGGGATGTATGTGGAAGATGAATAGCTCCAAGGAAACTGTTTTTCAGACACAACAGGACTGATGGACACACATAGAGACTTACAGACACTGTAACCACACATACAAGACCTGCACAGGGTCAAGCCAGACAAGGTTTCAGCATTAAGGGGGAAGTAGGCACAGGCTCCCACCCCTAAATGAGAAGGTATCTGCAATTGATACCCACCAGCAAGAGGAAAGTCAGTTTTCACCAATGGAGTCTCACTGGGAATATTAACCACACTTCAGGGCAGGGCCCATGGCCAGGAGTAGTTGCCCAACAAGAAATTAACTCAGCGGTATTTGTGTAGACTTTTGTATTATTTTGATTTGTTTAGGTTTGCTTTGTCTTATTGGTCTTTTGATTGTTATTTTGATTTCCCTTTTTGTATTTTTTTTTTGGGTGGGGAGAGGGTGTTGTGTGTGTTTCTTGTGAGTTTTTGGGGGTTTTGTTGTTGTTGTTGTTTGTTTTAAAGAGAGAAAGAAAGAAACTGTAGAGAACAAAAAGGGAGGTAGGAGGATCTGGGAGGAATTGGGGGAGGGAAGAACATCATCAAGCTATATTGTATGAAAAACACTTTTTCAAAACATTAAAAAACATTGAAGATAAAAAATAAAACACCATGACCAAAAGCAACTTAGGAAGCAAAGGGTTTATTTGGCTGAACAAACCACAGTCCATCACTGAGGAAAGTCCAGGCAGGACCTCAAGGCCAAGCAGGAAGCTGAAGGCAAGAACAAAGCAGCCACCAAGGAGGAATGTGCTTACCAGCCTGCATCCCATGGCTTACTCACCACAACAAATGAAGAGGTGGGAAAGATGGAGGAGTGGAGTGGGCTTTTTGTTGTTGTTTTTGTTTTTGTTTAATTAATATTTTTATTTTCTTTTGGTGGGGGGATGCTGCAAGGGAGAAGGGCAGATATGGAGGGATGGGAAATGAGTGGAATTGGGGTGCATGATGCGAAATTCTCAAAGAATCTATTAAAAATATGCTAAAAAATGATAAGAGAAAAAATTAGCATAAGCACATTAATATCTGTTATCCCTAAAGCACAAGAATAGAATTCATAAAGAGAACTGAATGGGTCCTTCCTCACATTGTACAACAAAAGCCAATTTCTGGAATCCCCACATTCTATACTGATGCAAATAAATCACAAAAAGCAGGATACAAATCAGGAGACTTAAGTAAAGTGGTTCAAAGTCCATACAACTCTGTACAAAAAGCAGAACTGTATGCCATTCTTATGGTATGATGGACTTCACAGAACCCCTAAATATAGTCACTGACTCTCAATATGCAAAGAGAGTTGTTTTACATATTGAAACTGCTGAATTTATTCCTGATAATAAAAAATTAACTTCACTATTCATACAATTACAGGAAACCATCAGAAATAGGGAATATCCTATATATATAAAACACATATCAGACCCCATAAGGGTCTGCCAGGACCTCTAGCACAAGGTAATGATGAGACTGATCAGTTACTAATAGGTAACATGCTAGAAGCCTCAGAATTTCATAAGAAACACCGTGTAAATAGCAAAGGTTTGAAGAAGGATTTCTCCATCACTTGGCAATGAGCTAAGGATATTGTGAAAAAAATGTCCTACCTGTCCCTTCTATAACCAAACTCCATTACCTGCAGGGAACAATCCAAAAGGTATACAAAGAAATGAAATTTGACAGAGGATGTGTTTCATTTAGCAGAATTCGAAAGATTAAAATATGTACACCACACCATTGACACCTATTCAGGATTTCAATGGGCAACTCCCATGAGTTCTGAAAAGGTTGATTCTGTGATTACATATCTATTAGAAGTTATGGCCATCATGGGAATACCTGTACAAATTAAGACAGACAATGCCCCAGCATATGTCTCAAATAAAACGAGACAGTTTTTTGCTTATTACAATATAAAGCATGTTGCAGGTATACCACACAATCCTACAGGGAAAGTAGTCATAGAAAGACCCAATCAAACTTTAAAGGATATGCTAAATAAACAGTAACAAGTAACAAAGACTCCTAGAAATAGATTGCATAATGCTTTACTAACCTTGAATTTTCTCAATGCTGATGAGAAAGGAACAACAGCTGTGGAGAGACATTGGACGACAGACAAAACTCCTGAGCTAAAACAACCAGTTTATTTCAAAGATGTGTTGACCTCAGAATGGAAACCTGGATATGTCCTACATTGGGGAAGGGGTTTTGCTTTTGTTTCTGTAGGAGAAGAAAAGCTATGGATACCAACAAAACTAATAAAAATTTGATTTGAACAAGAGAAACCCCTTGATGAGGAGAAGTAAAAGCTCATCCACCAATATGATGTCTCTACAAGTTGTAAGAAAAACTTAACAGATAAGGGTTGGGGCAGGGTTCTGTTTTCTGTCTTTACAGGATAATAGAAACACCCATCTTCCAGAAATCATAAGGCCTTGGATATCCAGACATATACAACAGAAGGAAAGAATCTATTGGTACCAATATATTCTACTGGGTAATACCTCACTGCCTAACGCCAATATCTCTTTAACTCTAGAATAGTTGTAGTCTCAATTCAATTATAAATCAAGCTGGCTTTGGAGTTGGAATTTAGCTCTCTCCTTCTCTAAACCCAATCATATTAAAAATTAGGAGATTCTGTCTCATATTTGAAGAGCCAACTGGTGTGAGACAGAAGAAAACCAATAATTTAGGGACCACTGTCATCTAGACTCTATGTCTTTCTATGCTTTTCCTTGCCTTTGAAGAATTCCATCTCTATCCAGTATAAATCCAAAACTTTCCATCTTGATATTGAAAATGTTCACGTTTTCCACAGTAAAAAAATAAGTCTTTTCCAATAGCAATCTCTGAAGTCTCCAAAAGGAAGATGGGGCCCCATAACAATGACTCTACCCAATACAGAATGATGCCATGGTATTCATAAATATTACTCAATGATCAACCTTGAACTGAAAACTCTCCAAGATAGTTCCATGATAAGATGGCCCATCATACTATACTTCTAGCCAGAATCTCAGACAACCTTAACTCTGAGACTAGCTACAGAATCTACAGTTAGTCCAACTGAGACCTAACTATCTGAGCTTTCTTATAGGACCCCACAGAGATACCATTGCCCCATAAACAGCAGAAAGCAATTCTAAGGAAACGACGTCCTTTTTCTCAAAGGTTTCATGTTTCTCAGGGTTATGGATAATGATTATAGGGTTGAGGATGGAAGAAAATATTGGACTTGGTGTTCTCCTTAAGAAAAAGGGGTCTCCAAAGCGAGTTCCAGGAAAGGCGCAAAGCTACACAGAGAAACCCTGTCTCGAAAAACCAAAGAAAAAAAAAAAAAGAAAAAGGGGAGTGGATAAGTATAGGATATTAAGGTAGATTATTGCAATACTAGTAAACTAACTTAGTAAATATCAGCTTTAGACAAATTGCAGTTATGGATTCTTGTATATTGATACAAATGTAAACGATTTTTATATTTCTATTTAATAATTTGTATATTGATACAAATACAGAACTATATTTGTTGTAATGTACATATATTTCTACTCTTATTTGAAGTGTGTGTATATTGATATAAATGTAAAATTATACTTGTCATACTGTGCGTATGTTCTACCTCTGTTTAGAGTATTTTGTATATTGATACATATTTAGGATTATTATCATATTACATATTGCACTATACATTTCTACTTCTGCTTAAACTATTTTGTGTATTGTCACAATTTTGAGGTCATTGTCTTTCTACTGTACATTTACTTACAGACTGTTTACCTTGTTTACATGAAGCCTTAGTCCTTAGGTTATTTAGGTAGATAAGACTTACAGATTTATAGTCACCTATGCTTGTCATCTCTATAGTTATGTTAATTAGGTTGTCCAGATTTACAGATATATAGGTCAGATGGACAGGTAATCTTCAAACGCTTCATAGACCTACAGAATATGGCATTTAAATAACTTAGAATTCTGTTGACGTGAGACATGATTGTTCCTGGCAGCACCAATTTGATCTGGAGAGAATGTTGGGCTTCTAAGACATTTCCCTTTGGAAGTTTTCTTCTTTTTGGCACAAAAACTGGGCAAAGAACTGCCCTTGCCTTGACTGCTGACAGTACAAATGCTGTCCCTCCTGAATGAACAGGACACAAGGAAAAGTGACTACTGAGCTCTGCCAAGACAGGGTAAGATGGTATTTCAAAATTCCTGCTTCTGAAAAATGGTCTGTCAGATACTCTAGGCCTGTAGCCAATTTGAATGCACCAAGGATGCTGAGCAACTTTACGTGACTGTCCAGGCTGCCCACTGTCTCTGTCTACTCTTGCAAGACTCCCAAAGTTGCTTTCGTCCATCTCCCATTTCTCAGGTATTATTATATTCCTTCTCAGGTCTTTGATGGGATTGAAGACTAACAGTTACAGTCACAATCTTCTCGTATCTTATCTAGAACATATTAAATATTAGATTCAAGTTCTTCAGGATAGGACACCTTTTGGAATGATCTCAGTAATGTGCCATTTACCTATGTTCCAGACTTCTCTGGATTTTAGTATGTGTCTCTTGTTTGATGTTGCTCTTGTTGGTTGTAGTTCCATTTGTTTGTCATTACCCTTTATTTCTCCTTGATAATTATTCCTATTGTATATAGTTTTATGTTAGGTTAGAACTTTCTTCCTTAGACAAAAGGGGAATTCCCCCTCCTGGGTCCTGCAACCAACTCCCTTATGCTTGTTGTGAGTTAACCCAAAATAAATCCCTTTGATTATTAGACAGACTATGTGCAATTGCCACAATAACCTGCAGTTTGAGTTCTGCAAGGTCCAGTAGATTAAACATATTGAGTAAAGTGAAGTAATTTGGAATAAAAGTTTGTCTTAAGAAAAAAATTTCAGATTTTGTCTGTTGTGCTCATCTTAATGAGTCAATTATAGAGTTGGAGGTGTGGTTGGGGGTAGAATATTTGCTTAGGATGATGAAGGCCTTGGATTCAGTCCCTAACTCTTCACCAAAAATGAAGCAACAGAGAAGGAAGAAGGGAAGAGGGGAGGAGAGGAGAAAGAAGAAGGATTGAGTATGGATGCAAATTGCAGCTGTCAAATCAGACAGATTAAAAGTGGATTAGTTCCCAAAGCGCTTTTTGCCCCTTTCTGTTTTTAAATACAAATCATATTTTTCTTGTTTTGCACTTTTTAGTCTATATCCTTGCCCCTGGAGGTGCAGACAGCAGCCTTTGTAGAGTAAGGAGACTGAACATAGCTTCTGAGACTACAACTACTTGTCTCAAACCTGGAACTCCCTTCCCACAGTTTGGCCTTACCATAGGACAGCCAGGGTTACATAGTGAGATCCTGCCTCCAATAATGACATTAATCCATTAATCACCTCCTAAACATCCCGCATCTAACACTGGTGCATTGGGGGGTTATGTTTCCAACATATTAACTCTTGGGGAACATAAACTATTAGCCAGCACTGTTTGCAAGGCAGGCAGACCCAAGTCAAGAACTAGTGTTTCAAAGCCAAATCTCAAAAGCCACTAGTCCCCTGGAAAGAGCAGCCTTGAAAATGTCTTTGAAGAGACAGAGCAAGGTGGAGAATGAACCCTGCCTGTATGTGACACATGAATTCTCCTGGTCCCTTAGGCATCTCACACTCTCTATATACAGGAGCAGGCAGGTGCCTAATTTGGGGCATTGTTTTTCAGCCTAGCCTTTAGCAATGGAACAGTACTCACCTCAGAACCCAAGAGATAGTATTGCTGTCCACAAAGGGCTGCCCCATCTCATCCTCAGCAGTTAAGATTTAAGTGTGACTTTGCTTGCTTAAAAGCAGGAGGTAGTGTGCCTTCCTATTGCAACAGAAGAAGAGAAAGAAATATAACTTGGCTTTTGCCTTACTATCCAATGCCAAGTTGTGGGTTTACGCATTTTTAAATTATTTTTTACTTACCAACACTATCATCTTCCAATAATACAAGTCAATCTACCTGTGGACCAGACTTTTCTTACAAAGAAAAGAATCAAGGCATGTCTACTGTCGTGCTGGTAGGCATTTCAGGAAGCTTGCTTAGTCACCTGTAATAGGCTCATGCCATCAAATCTTATTGTGAAGTCACATCTGAAAGCCAATGGGAGGGAGCCTCATCTGGGTAAGGCATGATGACCAGGTAATCTCAAAGAGAGGATGTGGAACCACAAGCCTCAGCACGGCTTGAAAGCTTCTTGGAAAGGCACACTCAGCCCCTTCCAGGTGCCTCAAGTTAGGAGACATACAGGAAATCTGGTGGTTCTGCTGTAAACACCGTACAGCTGAACATATGGGGGGGGGGGGTGCTGGAAATGGCTCATCAGTTAGGAGTACTTACTGCCCTTGTAATGCCCTGAGTTCCATTACCAGAACCCACATCAGCTTACAACAACTCCAGTTCCAGGGAATCTGGTGTCCTCTGACCTCCTCAAGGAGCTACATGCAAATGGTGCACATACACACACACACACACACACACACACACATACACACACATCTTTTTTTTTTTTTTTTTTTTTTTTTTTTTTGGTTTTTCGAGACAGGGTTTCTCTGTGTAGCTTTGCGCCTTTCCTGGAACTCACTTCGTAGCCCAGGCTGGCCTCGAACTCACAGAAATCCGCCTGGCTCTGCCTCCCGAGTGCTGGGATTAAAGGCGTGCGCCACCACCGCCCGGCAACACACACATCTTAAAGAAAGAAAAAGAGAATATGGGAACAAGAAGTCGAGAGGTCAAAGGGCAACAGACGGGGACCGAAATTGAAGCTGTGCTTTTCCACTTGTGTGTGCCCGATAACCAAGACTTGATCACATACTCAATAGAGCCTTGTAAATGCTGGTCATGTCAAAGGCTACATACGTGATTTCCCATAGGACATGATGGATGATCAGATATCCATGTCTACTTCTACCTAGGAGGCAGCCAGAAATGGAGAGTGAAAAAATAATGTGCTCAAATTTAATGTATTCCATACTGTATACCTGGCCCCGTGGGAAGGCTCAATATTGTCTGCACTATTCTCTAGTTCAGTGGCCCTCAACCTTCCTAACTCTGCGACCCTTTAATATGGCTCCTCATGTTGTGGTGACCCCCAAACATAAGACTATTTTCATTACTACTTCATAATTGTAATCTTGCTACTGTTATGAATCACAGTGTAAATATCTGATTGATATGCAGGATATCTGATATGTAGCCCCTGTGAAAGGGTAGTTCAACCTCCCTGAAGGGGTCATGACCCATAGGCTGAGAACCACTGATCTAGTTCCTCTGTGACAATGTAGTAGCAAATCATACAGTGCATGGTTTCTAGGCACTTTCCATGCTCCCACACAGACCACATTATGAGCGTGAGAATTATACAGAACTCACAGTCAAGCACAATAAACAGCAGCAGCACTCCTGATGGAGTCTACTCCCTGCTGTGACAGATTCTGCCAGTTAGTCACTGTGTTCAGCTTTGAATCTTCACCATGGGGGCAATGAGCAACCACGGAAGGACCATGTGCTCTGACGTTGGGCAGACCTCAGCATGCAGCCATGACTCCGCCACTGCCGAACTGGGGGCCACCATGGAGATCAGTCTTTTCATCTGTAAGCCGGCCTCCAATGGATACCTCCAAAAAGTCATTGAGAGTATTAAATGGATAGAGTATTAAATGGATACATGAAAAATTTGGGGTGGCACTCACCCAAAACAGGTGTTCGTGAGCCATGCTAGGAGAGGATGATGAAGACAGGCATATTTTCATCTGTCTTCCTAGTCTTTGAGCATAGTAACTTTCTTCTTTTTCTTAATCTTCCTCCCTCCCTCCTTCCTCCCCATTCCTTCCCTTCCTCCCTCCCTTCTTCCATCCCTCCCTTCTTTTGTATTCTTCAACAGCCTCTACTGTAAAGTGCAATGGAGAATATTCATCCTGTAGACACCCAGGGAAGTTGAAGTTTAAAAAAATCCCCAGTAGTTAGTGCTTTTCATAAGGTTTACAATGTTTAATCACAGAAGGGTAAGGTGTGAGAAAAAAAAAAACAGCGTTTGCAAATGACTGTGTATTGTCCCTTATGGGTCTTTAACAGATAAAGTTTGGGCAGATAAGAAATTCTAGAGAAATGCCAGCTACACCACTCCCATTAAACACCTGAAGGACTCAAGTCAGGACACCACCAAGAGAACTTCATAGTTGTGTTTGCCTCTCTCTCTCTCTCTGTCTCTCTCCTCTCTCTGTCTCTGTCTCTGTCTCTCTCTCTCTGCCCCCCCCACCTCACGGTCACTGTCTTACCACACAAGCTCTTAGCTACTACTCCAGCAACATGCCTGCATATCTGCTGCCATGCTCCCTGCCCTCAGGGTCACAGACTCTAACCCTCTAAAATGGTAAGTTCCAAATAAACTTATAAGTTGCCTTGGTCGCAGTGGTAGAAAAGTAACTAAGACAACCTACCATGAAATAAATGGATAAAGAGAATATGGTATGTGTGCACAGTAACATTTTATTCAGCCATAAAAAAAATGATGTCGTTTGCAGGAAAATGGATGCAACTGGAGATTATCCTATTAAATGGAATGACTCAGACTCAGAAAGACAAACAGCACATGTTTTTCCTTATTTGTGGATCCTGGATTTCATGGAGATACATGATTCATAAATGGGTGGATATGGGACAAAAAGGTGGAAGAGAGGCTTTCTGAGGGAATAAATGAGAATGATGGGGATAGGAATGGGAAGGTAAACATAGTAAATACAGTCAGCTATATGACATATATAAAAATGTCTATGAAACCCATCACTATGTACTGTGATTATACACCAATATGAATTGTCTACTGTTGGGAATCTCCAAACCCCACCCAGATGTTCCGCTGGGAACTTGGTCCCACTCCTCCCATCCAGACCCCGCCCCAGAAAACCCACCAAGCAGTGACTCCTCCCCCAGAGCTCAAGACCACACCTACAGGGTATTTAAGGTCTGGACCGTCGACCCTCTGTGTAACTTCTCTCCTGCTTCCTCTGCCCCCCACCCCAACCCCACCCCCGAGAGTCACCCGGGAGTTGCTCTGCTCAGATTAAACCTGGTCTTATTAATTCAGCCTGATCTGACTTATTGCATCGTTGAACTTACCCATTACCAGGGGATTTTCAAAATACTTATCTATTAAGAGAGAAATTTCAGAGAAATGAAGTAGTCACTCCGATAGTGAAGAGTAGTTTGGGTGTAAAAACAGCTCTTGACACATTGCTCAGGAGATAGTCTGTTGAGTATGAGCCCTCACCACAGGCACTGATCTGAGCAGCTCCACAGAGCTGCCCGGGAGAAGAGTTCCACGAGACCATCCCACGTGAGAATGGGCTCACTCTCAGCTGATGCACACTCACCATGCCAAAGGCCTGGTCATCCCTGGTCTAATTCGGCCACAGCTGTCATCCAACTTTTCTTTCCATAGTAAATCACTTTAATCAAAACTATCCAAGTCCTCACTGGTGCTCACTTTTCTAACCCCATTGCCTCTATCCCAAAGCCTTGCCTTGTGACTCTGTAGCTCTGGACAATTACCTGTGACAGACTTACCCTGAGCCAAGGTCTCCTTAACACCAAGTGTAACTCTGTGAAGGCGCAATTTGGTCAAGTTGCATCTTTAACCACGTTAGCATTTATTCTAGGTCAATTCAAATACGAAGTCAAGCTCATCTAGGTAAGAAGAATACAAAGATTGAGATTTCTCTTATTAACCAGGAAGGCTGCTCCATCTCCTGCTTACAAGGCTTAGAGACTAACAGGGGTCGGACAGGCTTTGGGGGTTGTTGGTTGTATCCACTGTTATCAGTACAATGGGGAAAATAAATACACTACAATTGCTGTGTCCTGGTCTACATCATTGGCAGAGCCTGATAGGGCTGGTGAGATGGCTCAGCAGGTAAAGGCACTCGCCACCACGCCTGCCCACCTGAGTCCAACTCAAACATCATTTGGTAGGAGAGAACAGACTCTTACACGTCATCCTGTGATACCACACACACACACACACACACACACACACACACACACACACACACACCACAAACAAATAAATGTAAATTAAGTTCTAAAATCAGGATGGGAGAGGATAAAGAATTACACTAGAGTGTGGCACAGGTGGGTCTGTCAGCAGTGTGAGCAAAGTGAAACCTTCCCAACACATTTCTGTTGTTTCCTTATTTGACCACCGGTTCACACAGTTTTTATGAGAAGCTTATCCACATGACACGGTTTGAACAAATGTTTTCAAATGCCCCAAGAGCATGAGCATCCATTTCCTTATGGTCAGTGCTGCTCTCCCAGCAATCTGTCAGAATCTGCCAACCTATGTGCCACAGCAAATCTCCAATTTCTCTTTAAAGTTAAGTTCCTGGGGTGGGGGGTTACTTGAAATCAGATAAAGGAAGGGTGGATTCCAGAAATGCCAGGCAGGAGATAAAGGTTATGCCTCTGTGCTGTGTCTGAGGTTGAATCTGGAATTGTGGATTCTTCTAGAAGCCAGATCTGCCACATTCCTATCCGAATTGCTCCTTACCCTGGGTAGATGAGGCTTCTCGAAGGTTCTGGTTGCCCTGCGCCAGTGGCGGCCTGCGAACTCTCGGCTGGAAAATCAGACACCATCAGGATACATCCATTCCTTTGAGTGCCGCCAGGAGCAATGATGCTGTTTCTTCCAAGCAGCTGCATTTTGTGGACACTGTGACCATAAAGCAGAGCAGCCCATCCCTCAAAAAACTGGTTTCCTGTCTTGCTGTGGGAGCTCTCCTTCCTACATGTGATCTTGCCATTGTAAGGTTATTCACTGTCTTGTAAAGTGTTCTCTTATAATTGTTGTCAGCCAGGAAGTATTTGTGATAGCATGGCTGCCCACTGATGTTGCACTAAATCACAGCTGTTTGTGTACCTCTCCATTAGGTACATTAGGTATCCATAAGGATATCTGCCTTCACCAGAACCCAGCAGAAGCTGCTCAACTGTGAGCTAAGTAAACGTCCTTCTTAATATGGCACTTAGCCTGGGGTATCTCATTATTGTCATAGAAATGAACGAGTATAACCCCCGCAATGTATCTTAGGCTCCGCTTCCAGGAATTTGACACTTGTTTACTCTATCACTGTATCTAAAACACTACCAGCTCTACAGTTGTCATTACATATCAACAAAAAAGAAAGATGCTGCCGAGGCGAGGCTACCAGGCCTTTCTATAGTGAAATCCTCATTTTAGGAGAGTAAGATGTGGGAAAATGAGCATCTTTGAACTAATTAAATATGACATGTAAATACAGAGACTGCCTTGCTACTCCGCAGGCATCCTAAAAGATTCTGACTAGCCTCGGCTGCATAGCATGCTGACATATAGGCAAGTTATCCTGCCTTTACGCAAAGTGATTGACAAACCTGAGACTTGGGTCTAAATTGAGTTTTAAAGGTATTTTACCTGTGGGTAAATTTTGTCATATTTCAAGACCTAAAAGGTAGCCATATGGGGAAGGAACTGTACCTTATCAATAGACAGATTTCTGTCAGAGCCTTTCAGCAAAATGATTCCTGTCCTTAAAGTGAGAATTAGCCTTTGGGGATAGTTTCCGACAGGGGCAGAAGTAAGGACAATTAATCTTCAGGGAAGCAATGTTCTTTCAGGATGAAGACAACAGTTTTTAGCATGACCACAGGGCTATATGTGATTGTACTCCCAGCTGCCTCTCTTCTCGTTGCCCCACCCCCCATTCTCACCACTGGCACTCCATTTTGCAAAATGATCTTAGCAGCAGACGTCAACAGACAAGAACCAGGGAAACATCATAATCAAGAAACAAACCAGTATCAACACTGTTGAGAATTCAACTGAAATGTGAGCAGGGGCTGGAGGGCAGCTCAGTGGTACAGCACTTGCTTTAACATATGTGAGGGACTGGGGTTCCTCCAGCACCGGGAGCAATGGAGAGGTACACAAACAGCTGTGATTTAGTGCAACATCAATGGGCAGCCATGCTATCACAAATACTTCCTGGCTGATAACAATTATAAGAGAACACTTTACAAGACACATCACAACTTTAGAGAAGTTAGGACCAGATAATTAGGTCATCATTAACTTTCTGAAATATATCATACTTTGTTGTGAGGACAAGTACTTTAGCGTATATGGAGTGAATAGGTTGTTCCTATGAATCTGGGACACATAACAGATCTTCACTGTCTCCAAGAAGATACTGTCACCGTGGGCAGGCAATCTTTGGTCACAGTGTCCTCTCTTTGGGGACTGACTATAGACACCAGGCCAACTAACATCTCCCCCAGAGAGCCAGCACAGTCCTCCGACAAACGCATTCTCTGCAGTGATGGAAGCAATCGGGAGCTTGGAGAGATGCAGACTTTTTCAACCGTGCAGTGGCAATATAAGATGTGATGACCTCCTTCAGCCAGCCACATCTACAAAGAGAGAGTACAATCACTGGGTGTACAGAGTCTGGAACCATGCAAGTCAGGAGTGAGGCTTGGCTATTTCCGGCCGTGGGATTTGGAGCAAGTTATTTCATATTGTTGTGCCTCGGTTTTCTTATCTATAAAATGGAGATGCCATATCTGTATTTCATAGAATCGATGATGTTCTTCATTATAACAAGTATCATATACTATAAAATAATAGCCGCCTGATCAAACTAAAGCATGAGTGCCCCAGAAAAATATCAGCACCGTGAAGGCAAAGGGTTTTATCTGCCTGTACACTGGCACGTCCCCAGAGCCCAGAACACTGCTTGACATGGTAGGAGCTCAGCACCTGGAGTTGAACGACTTAGTGCCTGATTCCACATGTGTTTAATAGAGTCGATAATAATGGGCTGAGAGAAGTCCACTGTGGAGGAGAGCAACTATAAATAAAGCTATAATTGTCTACTTGCCCCTTTTCCTGCTCAGCCTTTTAAACACCCCCAACATGATGAGGCAGTTTTAATGGAAATAAATGCTAGAAGCTGAAATTATACAATTAACTATGCTCAGCATAGATTTCAATAATTTATTGTTCCAAGGATGCTCACGGATCACCTAGCAACAGCAAAAGGAAAACACAGGTGTTTGGGCTCAGTTCACACTTGTTAACTAAGAAGATGAGCATTTTCCCCTTGGAAATTCTAAGCAGTTTTCAATGTACTCAAAAAAGGATAGCTGGAACCCAGGGGCTTTTGGCAACCTCTGTTCAGTCCCTTGCTCCTGGCCTTCAGCTCTTTTTGCACCTATACCATTTTATTCAGAGAGTAACCGTCTGAATCAAGGCTCCATAATTTACCAGCCTTGTGACTGAGAACTGGAGAGATGGCTCAGTGATTAGGGGCACTGGCTCTTGCAGAAGACCCACATGGCGGCTCACAACCAACCATAACCCCAGTCCCAAAGAATCTGCCTCCTCTTCTGACCTCCACGGGCACCAGACACACAGGAGACGCACACACATACATGCAGGCAAAACATACACATAAAATAAAAATAAATAAATCTAAAACAAAAGCAAAGGAAGGACACACCAGTGGACAAAGGAAGGACACACCAGTGGATGACAATGAGGAGTAAACAAAGAAGCAGTGCCCTGTAAGCAGTAAATGCTATGGTGTGTTAAACATATTAGCAAAATACGCTTTCATTCCCAATAAACTTTTTCTAATTGATTATATGATAGCTTAGGGCTATAAACACATTTATATCAGGCTTATAGTCACACATGCCTCCTCCCAACACTATACACAGAACCAAGCTTCCACCCACACTCCCACCCAGCTCACCTAAACCATAATAGCTAAAACACAGCACTGCCCTAAGTGAAGCCACTGGAGAGCCCCTAGATCCAGGCTTCCGAAAGGCAATCTCTGGGTCCCTCACGTGACCCATGGAGGGTCCCTTTAGGAATGACTCCAAGGAGCGTTTCCCTCTTGCATCATTCCCCTGGAGATCTGAGTTCTTGTGAGAGTGGGAGTGGCCTGAAGACACATTCCCACCTTTGGGGGTTAGTGTCTGGGATGGGATCAGGTGTGGCTGGTTCCCACGAGATGACAGGGCACAAGGCAGAGGAGAGAGACACAGAGAAGTGGGGTGCTAGCTCCCCACTCACCCCTGCCCCGCCCCCAGAAAAGCCAAGATGGCTTCCAGGCCAGCCAGAGCAGCAGCTGTCCACCACATGAAGAAAGAAGGTATTTTTTAAAATATTGTTTATGTTCACGCTGTGAGCCTGCCCAGAAATCTAAATATCCGGCTCTCCTCAGAAAATACTTCCTTCCTCGGTGGCTGTTTCACCCTCCTGGCATCCATGCAAAAGGAACAAGCATCTGGCAGTAATTAGGAACTGCCTCTTTCCCCGGCCTAATGAAACAGCTCTCCGGTCGTTTGTGTTGCATTAATTTCAATAGTCATCTCTGCCTCACAATTTCATAATAGCAACAGCTTCTAATTCCACTGAGACGCTTCATGCTAAACTTTCTGATTTCACTAAATGATGAGTTATATAAAGGTGCCTCACAGATTCAGGAGGCCTTTTCTCCGTTGGGTTGTTTTTGGCTGTGTCAGAACACCCAACTTGAAACCGTAGAAGCCAAACAAGAACCTAAGAGTCCAGGCACAGGAATAAGGCAGGCTTCTGAGAACTTCATCGGTGATCCAGCTCCATCCTCAGTGATGGCCAGGATGCCTTCTGCCCTGGTTTTACGTGTTTTTCATCTGAGGCTAGAAGCAAAATGTCTGAAGGATTTCTTGGATTTACCAGTACATACAAAGCTATCTGGAAGATGATTAAAATGAGATTATTTATTTCTCCTTTTCAGGTGTTTGTATTTCTCTCTGTGTGTATGTCTGTGTGTGTGTGTGTGTGTGTGTGTGTGTGTGTGTGTGTATCTATGTGTATGCTAGGTATCAAACACAGTCTTAAGAATGCTGAGTAAGTCCTCTTCCATCATGCTACACTCCAACTACAAGCTCATTTCTTAAAAATTATTAATTCATTTTATATTTGTTTTTATTTATGTATGTGTGGGTGCCATATGTATGAAGGTACCTGTGAAGGCCTGAAGAGGGTGCTGGATTCCCTGGAGCTGGAGTTACAAGCAGTTAGTTGTGAGCCAAGTAATGTGGGTGCTTGGAACCCAACTTAGGTCCTCTGGAAGAGCAGGAAGTGCTTGCTCTTAACTGCTAAGTCACCTTTCCAGGCCCTATTATTCATTTGGGGGGGGGGGGGTGTGAGTGTGTGTGTGTGTGTGTGTGTGTGTGTGTGTGTACAGTCATGTCAGAGTGTAAGTGTGGAGGCCACAGGACAACTTGCAGGAATTGGTTCTCTCTTTCCACCACATGGTTTCCCAGAGATCCAACTCAGTAATCGGGATTGATAGCTCTGTGCCCTTACCTGCTGGGCCATCTCACTGCCCCACAAAGTCATTGCTTCATGTCCGTCTCAGGAATAAAGTAAATTCTTCCAAGATCCTTAAAGCAAACTTTACTTTTATTTCATTGACCCAGATGGAGTCACATGCTTAATCCTGAAATAACCTGGCTTGAATCTGGGTTTGCATAGTCACCTGCAGAGATTATGTAAACCACACCCGGCTTATCAGCCTCCACACAATACCAAACATGAGGAGCACAGGATGAAGCGATAGGAAATAGGCCTTGGTTCCCTGCTGCCACAGGTATCTGAACCTCATGATTATTCCGAGCAATGAGTAATTGCTTCTCAAACTCCGTGTTTGAGAAACTTAAGACTTAGCAGAAGACAGAAGCCATTGTCCTCTAGCTATGCTGAAGACACCACCGGGGACTTCTTGCCTCCACCATGGCTGGGGCAAGGGCTTTGGACAGAGGCCTCCCTTGCCACATGGACCGGTGTTAGTTGTCAATATTTCAGAATCTGTGATCTAGAGAACCAGGAACCACGAGGAAAACCACTGGAGTGGCAAGTCTGGCTAGTCTCCAGGAGGGGCAGTACCAGCAGCAACGGGATACCCAGGTGTAAAGTTCACAGGTACAGGAAGCTCGGGTTATTTTGGATTTCAGATAAATAATAAATGACTTCAACATACTTACTTTTGCCCCCATACTAGGACAGTTTCCAAGCCTACTTCTAAACCTCTGCCGGGAATCCTGTGAGAACACACCATGCAATATAAGCTGCTATCACTCACACTTACGACCTTTGGTCGTACCCATCTCAGCGCCCACTACAGAGAGGTGAGCACATCCTCCAGCAATTGTCATAAAATATGAGCAAGCCCAGAAGAGTGGGTGGTACCACCGTCTAAAGTCTAGGTCTGAGAAGAATGGGGTTTTTGAAAGTGTCTGTCTGGTCCCCAGTGGAAGGAAAAGCATGCAATCTTTCCGGCCTCAACTGAACTACATTTAAAATGAAGACAGAATGCTATGTGACTTCAGTACTAAGGATTACAGGGCTGACAAGACGGTTCGGAAGGAAGATGGCACAGCCCAAGGACCTGAGTCGGGGGCATAAACCAATGGCGGAAGGACAAAGCCATCTCCCCAAAGTTGTCCTTGGACCTCTATGTGCATCCTCACACACACATACACACAGGTGTGTGCAGGCAGACACACACAATAACAGTAACAAATAAAATAATAACATTAAATATTACACAATTCTGGCATAGACAAGGCATAGACAAAAAAATTGTAGGATTTTTCCTGTCCTTTGGTCTATTCTGACGAATAAAACTAAATTCTTCTCATATGAAACAACTTCGCTATTGCTACACGGATACACTGAAAATCCATATTAACATTATTAATATTGTCTGCTTCTAAATTATACTGTATTGTTATTAACTGTCTTATTTCCCAAGAATAATATGTCTTCCTGTTGAATTCCTGCTGAATGGAAGGCCAGTGTTAATTCACCAGTTGCCATGGTAATGTAACTGGAAATATTCTGCTCTGCTCTCCCTAGATAACGAAGGAGGCAGACAGCATCACGAAATCCCTGCCTTAGCACGTACGTACGTACGTACGTACGGATGCCAGAGACTGGTGGGGACTGGGACTGTCACTTGTTTCAGCTTTTTGGGTTGGGAGTTCTCGCCAGTATGACTTTGCATTCAACATCCTCCTGCCTCCGCCTCAAAATGTTAGAAGCATAGGCATCTAACTATTCCTAGCATCTAGAGGCTTCTCAGCTGATATTATAGGTAGTTTGAACTTGAATGTGGTTCTTAGAAAGGAGGTAGGCCTCTGCAGATCTTCCAGCTCTCTCTTTACAGCTAGAGCTTCTCCCGTTGCTCTGGGATATAGTATGAAGCAGAGATTCCTCTAGCAACTAAAAATTCCAAACACAAGAACTCAGGAGGTTGATGAACTGGATCCTCAGGACCCAAGAGGAAAAGCCAGGCATGGTGCTGTGTGCTTGCGATCTCAGGACCAGGGAGGCCAAGACAGGCAGATCCCTGAGGCCTGCCAGCCAGGCAGTGTAACCACCAGCAAGGTCAAGGCCAGTGAGAGACCCTGTCTCCACAAACATGGACACCTGAGGAACAACATCTGAGGTTGCCCTCTGGCCTCCACATATGTGTGCACAGAGGCGCACAAACACCAAAAAAAACTTTAAAACAAACAAAAAGAAAAACGCTCTTAATGTGATGCTAATTCTTTTAAATTAAAAAAAAAAAAAAATCAGGCCGGGCGGTGGTGGCGCACGCCTTTAATCCCAGCACTCGGGAGGCAGAGGCAGGCAGATCTCTGTGAGTTCGAGGCCAGCCTGGACTACAGAGTGAGTTCCAGGAAAAGGCGCAAAGCTACACAGAGAAACCCTGTCTCGAAAAACCAAAAAAAAAAAAAAAAAAAAAAAATCAGGACTAAACCTGAAGAGAAAGTTGTTAGATTTCTTTTTTTTTTTTTTTTTTTTTTGGTTTTTCAAGACAGGGTTTCTTTGTGTAGCTTTGCGCCTTTCCTGGAACTCACTCTGTAGTCCAGGCTGGCCTCGAACTCACAGAGATCTGCCTGCCTCTGCCTCCCGAGTGCTGGGATTAAAGGCGTGCGCCACCACCGCCCGTCAGTTGTTAGATTTTTTACATTACTTTAAATACTTTATCTTTAGATTGTTTGTGCCTATTATTTATAGTTTGATTATAGCCAGTTTTTTACTAAACTTTTTTATTTTTTTGAGATTATAATATAATTACATCATTTTTCCTCTTCCCTTTTCTCCCAAGTATCCCCTTGCACTCTTAAATTGATGTCCTCTTTTTCTTTAGTTACTATTTGTGTGTGTGTGTATTTCTAACACATAAATATAACCTGCTCAGTCTGTATAATGTTACTTGTATATTTGTGTTCTCAGAGCTCCCCTTTGGATTGGATAACCAACTGTTACACCAGGTGTACAAAAGTTAGGTGGAGGCGGCCATGCCCCTGCCCTCTTTCTGCTTCCTGTGTACCCTGAAGTGAGCAGCTTTGCTCTTTCATATGCTCCCTACCATGTCTTTATCACATGCCGAAAATCAAGAGTCAGCCCTGGGCTAAAGCTTCTAAACGCCAGGAGTCAAATAAAGCTTCCTTTTTTCTATTGTTTATTTTTGTTATTTGTCCCAGGACAAGAGCTAACGAACACATCTTGGGTCTCTGTGACCCTGGATTTGGGGTAAGCATAACAGAGCAGTTACTTAGATTGTATACATTTAACATCATTATCTTCCTGAAAGCTACAGTCATAGCTATTCAAAATTTATCCACTCTAAAATGTATTCTTCCGATTAGCCATGTTTGACTCTTGTGTGTCCCAAATTAACAGCACTGCCTACATGTTTAAATTTATCTCGTCTTTGTTGCGTGTCAATGTATTTTCCTGGCCTTAAAGATGGTTCCTGTGCCTTAAAAAGGATTAATCAAAGACTATATTTTTTACATTCTTAATTACTGGGGGGGTATAAGTTGTGCCTGTAATAAAATATGTCCACTGTAATGCATTTTTCCATAAGCTGTAGAAAGTACATAGACCTGCATCCCCAGCAGTTTCCCTATCCCTCTCTGCAGTTTCCAGCCCCAGCAGAGATTTGCTTTGTCACTACAGACTGACCTATTTTACAACTTCCTATGAGCAGGCTCTTAAAATCTTCAATGTCTGGCTTCTTCCACTCAACATAAATGAATAATCATCTCTGACTGTATATATAATAAGCAGCTTACTCCTTCTTGTTGCTACATATTCTACCCTGTGGATATATCACCTTTATTATTATTTCATCTACTGATGGACGTTTGGGTTGTTTGGGACTCTGGTGAACAATTTCTTAGGAATACTCATAGGCAGCTCTTTGTGAGATTGCATTCCGAGTTCTTTTAGGTAAAACCTAGACATAGGATTACAAGGCTATATGGCAAATGTGTATTTCACTTCATTTGAAAACAAAAACAAATGGACTTACAAAACTGCTTTCCAAAGTGACTATACAATGTCCCATTCCTATCAGCAATGTCTGATTTCCAGCTGATCCACAATTGGTGGGTTTTTTCTCTCTCTCTTTTAAATTTAACCTAGCCTACGGAATGCATGTGGAATCTCAACTGATTTTAATTTGAAATAGCCTGATAACTAATGATGTTGAACAGCTCTCTGATCATATGCACATTAGCTATGCATGCACCCATCAGTGTGTGTGTGCGCACACGCGTGGGCGCGCGCGCGCACGCACACACACACACACACACACACACACACACACGAAATGTGTGTCAAGTTTTTACTTTTTTACTGGATGCTTGTCTTATTGAGTTATAAGAGGTCTTTATATATTTTGGATTAAAGTCTTGTTAGATGTATGTATTAAGCAGTTCTTTTCTACTCTGTAACTTGCCTTTTCACTTGTTTTTAGACATTCCTTTACAAAGTGTTAGAATTCCTAGCACTCCCCCAGCTACATGACTACACATGTGCTGTCCAGTAGCCAGGCAAAATACTTAGTCATTACCAGGGCCTTATGTCCTAAGTAATCCATGCACTGAGTGATTACAAAATTTGCGAGCAGCGTGATCACGTAATCTATGTGCATGTGTGGTGTAGCTATGTAAGCCCATATGCGCATATTGGGGGGGTGACTCTATAAAAGAGGGTTCCACCTATCCCTCTGCCCTTTTTCCTACATGATCATTCCCATAGGCCTAAGCACATCCCTTCTGTTCCCTTCCCCTAATAAACTCTTATAGTGGGTTTTGTTATACCTCGTGGCTTTTCTCAAATGGTAAACAGCGCTGCTTAATGAA